CTCCTAGACACTATAATTGCACAAAAAATAGTTTATAAATGCAAAAAAAGTGCATTTACGTAGCATGATATGTCTCCTTTAAATTTAAATTTGTTAGACAAAGCAACAGCTCTCATTTACAATCATCTCGTTTGGCTCCGTACTGTTCTCCTCTCAGCAGGGTTGTTTACAGCACACGCGATTTCCGGTTAGCTTCTTAGCTTAGCCTCCGTCACAGCGACAACACACACATGCTTCAGCAGAGGCCACGCCTCCTGCAAGAAATGATTCTCTATGCAGCAAGTCCAGACCCTTGTACGAAGCAAAGTGAAGGACTGGTCTGGTTGTAACCATGCTAAGATAAAACAATACATAACAATTTAAAAATCATAATTTATACCTACACAATGATACAGTAGATTCTACAAGGTCAGTATTTGAATTCCACACTCTATGAAATCAATGATTTATATAACAGGAGGTGCAAACTGCCTGGTAGGATAATTATGAATTTGTGGGTTGGTATGAAAATTACTTTTTAATGTAGGAAGGTCATTTATCATACAGTGCTCTTTACACAAATGTAAGTGAGAAATGTTTTATTTAAAAAAATTCAACAGTTCTAATTCATAAAATAAAGGTGCACTTGGAGTTTCAAGTTTAGAAAAAGTACCTATTCTTAGAAACGTTTTCTGTAAAATAAATATTTTGTTAAAGTGAGCTGGAAATATAGCTCAACCAAACAATATTACAACAGGTAAGAGATGGATAAATTTAACTATAGTATAATATTAAAAAACTATTTGTAAACAAAATGTCTAATTTTACCAAAAATTCCAATTGATTTTTTTTCCAGACACGTGTCCAATATGGTCCTTCCAACAAAGTTTCTCATCAATCCAAACTCCTTATTTATATTTCTTCATTATTGATATGAATTTTGAATTGATCTCTATTATATGTTTTATTTCCAACAAATAAAATAAGGCTAGACTTTTTAACATTCAAAGACAATTTATTTGCTTTAAACCATTTGGAATAATTACAAGGATACTCATTTAACTGTATAAGAGTAGTAATATTTTTATTTGACATAAAAAGACTGGTATTATGTGTGAAAAGCAATGGAAATGTAGAGCTAGATATAGAAGCAAAATCATTTATAATTAATAAACAATATTAAATAAAATGAAACTGATATAATTCATCATGGTTGTTTTTTTTCTCTCTACAGACCATGTCGTCCTATGATGTCTGTGGCATCCTCTTAGGGACCTCCACTCTCTTGGTGTGGGTGGGAGTCATCCGCTACCTCACCTTCTTCCAGAAGTACAACGTAAGTCCCAGCTAACGCAGAAGGAAAACTGTTCCTCTGAACAGATGGATGTGATGGAATAAATCCAGTTTTCTCACTCTTATGTTATTATTTATTGTCTCTGTGCTTTTTTCCTGCTGCAGATTCTCATCATCACACTCCGAGCAGCGTTCCCCAACGTGATCCGCTTCAGCTGCTGCGTCGCTGTCATCTACCTGGGCTACTGCTTCTGCGGCTGGATCGTCCTCGGACCGTACCACGTGAAGGTGACATGATGGATCTTTTTTTTTTTAGAGCGCTGCATATCTATCATAGGAGGATCCTTTCACCTCATCTCTTTTGTTTATTTTTTTTCATCCCTGGGTTTTTACAGTTCCGCTCTTTGTCCTCGGTGTCCGAGTGCCTGTTCTCCCTCATTAACGGAGACGACATGTTCGTGACGTTCTCGGAGATGCAGGAGAGTAGTTCCCTGGTGTGGCTCTTCAGCCAGCTCTACCTCTACACCTTCATCTCCCTCTTCATCTACATGGTGCTGTCGCTCTTCATCGCTCTCATCACGGGAGCCTACGAGACCATCAAGGTAGGAAATTGTTGCGCAGTTTTGGCAAAACAAGATCAGTTTGCTTAAAAATACCTTCAAATATTCCCTTTTTTAATTCTGTTACAATTCCACAGCATCAAACCCAAGAACCCATCCACATCACTGACCTGCACGCCTTCATAGCAGAGTGCACGGACGCACCCAACTCAGGGAAGTTCAGGGGTCTGGAGACGTCGCCGTGCTCCTTCTTTTGCTGCTGCGACAGGTCAGTACACACGTCGTGACCCTGAGAAAGGCTCCTGCTTTTGATTTGTAAATAAATGTTGCTTTAATATCCCAGAAACAACAGAGGATATGACAAACAGACCGGATGAAGCTGTCCAAGGAAACAGATGAGAAATATTTCATCCAGCTGATGCAGCTAAACCTCTGCAACATCTGTTTACGTTTTAGTTATGAAATACGGTCTGGGGGGAACTCTGCTGATGAGCAATGCACATCAAACCCAGCAGAGGGCGCTCTAAACAAAACATGAGTGGAAAAAACAGTGAAAGACAGCAGAGCTTCATGTTCTACGATACATAGATAAATAGTAGGGTGTACGTCCCCAGATTCATCATGATACAATAATATTAGGGCTGGGCGATATGACCTCAAATTCATATCAATTTTATAAATTGAACCCCTTCACGGTAACGGTATATATCACCGTAGAAAACTATCATAAAAAGTTAAGAAAATGTAATTTTTAGAGCATTTTTTGCAGAAAACTGTACTCTTAATTAAACCCAACATTTCTGCTTTAATATCTGC